ATGCTCATGATCTAATTTCATGGTGGTATCCACTAGAAGTTCAGTGCTTTCTCAAGCAAGGGGACAGTCAAAGTGGGATCAAAGTTGAAAGAAAGATCCTGAGGTTGCTGAAGCAACCTCCTTTTACCTCGATACAGCAATTGTAGACAAATATTTGAAGTGTTTTTACATGGAGGAGGAATAAAATTTGTTCCATTTGGCCAGAACAGATAGAACCAGGAGCAAAGAAAGAAAAAATTAAAGGGTCTAGGGTTGGTTTGCTAGAAGAGCAAACATTACAGCTGTTTGGACTGTGCCGAAATGGAACAGTCTGCTTAGAGGGGTAGTAAGTTGTGTCTCATTGATCTTATTCAAGCAGAGGCCGTGTAATCCACACAATCACGAAGTTGGAATTGACCTCAGAGGTCATCTAGTTCACACCCATACATGAAAGGCATCGCCACCATAAAATACCCAACGAGAAATCACCTATCCTCCCCTTGAATTTCTCTTAAAAGACCTCCTGTTGAGTGTCTTATAAAAAGGAATTCTTTTTTTAGTATAATTTAGACTAAATAGATTTGTGTTGAATTCCCTTCTAATTCTCAAATGCTGTGATTCTGTGCATGTATCGTTGCCAGTGCCAGGACACTGAATAGAAAATTAAAAAAAAAAAAAGGCATCCTGGGGTTCTTGAGACATTGTCTAATGGCCAGGCCAAATGGAAATTTGTAGACACCAAATGGAAAAACAAACCCCTAGGTTCTGTGTACAGACACTCAGGCTGCAAAAAGGACTGAGACCTGAGTCCGGAGTTACTGAGAATCAATTATGAATTGGGACCTTTTTTGTAATTCCTATTGCCCACTGACAGAAGGAATGGCCTTCTATCCATCTATCTGTTATATCTGATAGATATTCTATCTATCTAGCCTTTATGTGAGCCTCATGGTTCAAAGGGTCCACCTGAGTCTGTGATAATCTGCAGGGATGTCTCAGGATAGCAGGCATGTTATTGTGTATCGCTGCTTTTACTGGCTCCGTGCAAAGAGTAAAACTTCTGGATACAGTAAGCATGTTCTATCTGATCCTGTGAAGAGGCTGCTTCCATTGTGACAAGTTCACTTGACTCGGACCCAGTGAAATTCAACTAGCTCAGGGAGAAGGAAAAGCAGCAAAGGCCTTAAGGTGCAGACTTCAGAGTTAACTTGGCTTAGTTAAATCCCTATTAACCACCCTGCTTAGAAGGATGACCGAGTGATGCCTCAAAGAGTGGTGAAGCCTCACCAGCTGGTGAAATTAAGAAAGAGGTTGTTTACTCTCTGAGAACTCTTACAAATAAGGAGGGATGAGATACATAGGGAATTAAATAAGAACAATACCCACAATTCTGTTATCTTGGTGATGTTTCCAGTGTGCTTTCATCCATTAATTCCCCAAGGCACAAAGAAATTTAAAAGCATATAGAGATTCCCACAGAAAATACCTGAGAGGATAATGTACTTTGAGGCTCTAGCTTTAAGCTCTGGCCAACCAGAGTAATTGGGACTGTTGGTGCTGGTATGAAAGCCATTCAACAGGGCAGGCCATGCTGAGGGAAAGACCTCAAGCTTACTCTGTGAAGATAGAAGACAATTTTACAAACAGTCATGCAGGTCTTTGAATCTGAAATTTTTCAGACCCAAAGCCATTTTTTTTTTTTTTTTGAGGAATGTCACATGGGAGAAGCAACAAACAGTTGACCAAAGTCAATTGGGTAAAAATTATGTGCATAGATCTCAGTCTACATTCACAGAGAAAGCCAAATAAGACTGGAAAAATAAGAAAGGGGCTCTGTAGAACCCCATTTCCTGTTTGGAAGAAGAAAATACTCAGGACAATGTCATTAGGACTCATGTTTTTGATATCTTGGGGAGAAGAAATGGCACCAGAGTCAGAGACTAATAGAAAAACACAAGTCAATGGCATTTGCCAACACTGCCCTCTCACTCCTGTTTAGAAGAAGCTGCTGAAGACGTCTTCAGTTAGTGACACAGGGTGTTCACTTGTCACAAGGATTGAGAGAGTAGGGGTTGGAATTTGCAAGTAATAGGGAAATGAGTCTAAGAAGTAGCTTGAGAGAGATCTTATGAGGAAGGCAGATGATTAGAAGGTTTCAGTCCTTTCCTGTAAGCCATCCCAACCTCATGGAAGGCAGAGTTCAAAGACTCAACTTCACAAGTGAAAAATCAGGAGGTGTGACTAGAGGGTTCCCTGGAAAAAAAAACCTGGAGTTAACTGCAGATCCAATAGAAATCAATGATGAGTTTAAAGTCTGACTGTGCTATAAATATTCAAGAGAACTGGGAACTTATAGGGGAGGTGGTAGGGTAGGGGATCATTCGCCTTCCTCCAATTTGGTTTTTTTTCTTTTTTAATTCTCAATTTGATTTTTAAAACTTTTTCAAGATGTTATTTTTAAGTAATTTGTTCTTCCCGGTACCCTGCTTCAAATCCCACAATAGATATCTACTTAGACCAGCAAACAAATCCCCATGTTATCCATGTCTGAAATGTGTGTATTTCTAGATTTTGAGCACTTCACCTCTCTGTCCAGAGGTGAGTAGCCTACATTATCATTAAGTTAATCAGAGTTCTAAAATCTTTTAGACTTGTTTTTCTCTACAATGTTATTCACACCCTCAGTTCATTAAGGTCTTCTCAGGTGCCTCTGAAATAGTCCATTTCATCATTTCTTACAACACAATAATATTCCCTTACAGTCATATGAAACAGTTAGTTTAGCTGTTCTCCAATAGGAAAATCTCTCCTTAGTTTCCAATTTTGGGCTATCAAATAGATTCTTATTTCTTTGACTTCTTTGTACTACAGGCTTAGTATTGATATAGCTGGGCAGTTTGGCAACTTTCTGGAAATAGTTCCAAATTGTTTTCAAGAATGGCTGGAGCCTAATTGAGAGGATGGCCATCAACTGGGGAATGCCTGAGTAAGTTGTGGTATATGAATGTGATGGAATACTATTGTGCTATGAGAAATGATGAACAAGCTGACTTCAGAAAAACCTGAAAAGACTTGTATGGTCTGATGCTGAGTGAAGTGAGCAGAACCAAAAGGACGTTGTACACAATAACAGCCACGCTGTGTGATGACTAATGTTGATAAACTTAACCCTTCCCAGCAATACAAGGATCTAAAACATCTCCAGAGGCCTCATGATAGAAAATGCTATCCACATCCAAAGAAAGAGCTATGGAAGCTGAATTACTATTTTTTTTTCTTCTCTTCTGTTGAGTTTTGTTTCCTCTTTCTGATGGTTCCTCCTATTGGTTTTAATTTTTACTTACAACATCACTAATGTGAAAATATGTTTAATATGAATGTAAATGTATAGCCTATTGTGGTGGGGAGGAAGGGAGGGAAATTCTAAACTCAAAAGCATATGGAAGTAATTATTGATAAATCAAAATAAATTAATAAAAAAAGGAGGAAAAAAAAAAGAATGGCTGTACCCATTCATGATTTCACTCTTTCCATAGTCCCTCCAATATTTAGTTATTTATTGACTTTTATTCTTACAAAAACTAATCGGGTCCTTATATATTTTGTAATGAGACTTCATCAGAGAAATTTGTTGCAAATCTTTTTTTGTTACCTGTTTCCTTTTTGGAGCAACTAGGTGGCTCAGCGGATGGAGTTCTGGACCTTAAGTCAGCAAGATTCATGTTCCTGAGTTCAAATCTGGCCTCAGACACTTACTAGCTGTGTGAACCTAAGCAGGTCACTTCACCCTGTTGGCCTCAGTTTCCTCATCTGTAAAATGAACTGGAGAAGGAAATGGCAAACCACTGCAGTATTTCTGCCAAGAAGAACCCAAACGGGGTCCCGAAGAGTCTGACACGACTTCCCTTTTGATTTTCCCTACATCAGATTCTTTGTGTAAAACCTTTGAAATCTCTCATAATCAAAACCGTCCTTTGTATCTCGGGTTCGTGCATGTGGCTTGCTTTGCCTCGGCTCCTCCATCCGCAGACTGGAAAGGTAATTGTCCTCGCTCCTCCTCTGTCCGCCCCGATTCTTTCCCGGGCTCCCTCATCCTTCGGAGCTCATCTCGGCACCTGCTGTTGCCCGGCTGGGGAGCCTGGACCTCGAGGCGCACGTGGCCTCGAGGAGGGCCGCCCTCGAAGACCTGGAGGTCCCCCACCCCGGCCTAAACTCTGTTGCTGCAGAGCGGCCTCCTCCCTTCCCCTCCTGTGGCTGAGCCCTCCGGTCGGGCCCTCGCGGAGCTCGAACCCCATCCACGTGGCGGCTTCTGCTCGGGCCTAGACGAGGGCTCAGAGCTGCCATCGGCGCCTGCGCTGGATTCAGCCCCGCCAGCGCCATGCCCTCGGATCTCCGCCTGCCGGGCCTCCTTCCGGGGCATCTCCCCTCCTTAGACTGTAAGCGCCTTGAGGGCAGGGCCCGCCTTCTTCATATTTACATGCTTAGCAGTGCTTGTCACATGGTAGGCCCGTAATAAATGTTTATCGACGACTGACGTTGTCCACTTTGATTTTAAAAAGCAAGAGGAAAGCGAAATGACAGCGATCAAAAGTGCATTAAAAACTGGCACCGCTCCAAGCCACTCAAGGTTCCCAACCCCCCGTGCGCAGACTCAGGAGCTGGTGGAGCTAAGCCCTCTGGGAAATGAAGTCCACTTCCCTCTCGCAGGGCGGCCTACGGAGTTGAGGCCACACCTTCATATACCTAGACTCCGATTCCCAGAATGCCTCGGAAGGCCCTAGGTGGAATGTGGATGGAGGCGAAGCCAGATGCATTGTGGGAAATGGTCTTTCTCCTGGGCCCGCCTCCTAACCCTTGTTCCTGTGGCTACTTCTGAGAGGAGGAGCCCTGGGGAGGAGGGCGGGAATGAGTGAGTGCGCATGACTGCTCCAGCCCCTCCAGGCTGAGGGAGGGGAGAGTGCAGTGCGCACGCGTAGCGCCGTCCTGCCGACCCCACCCCCACCCACCTCCTCATGTCCCGCCACGTTAGTACGCATGCGCTCAGCAATCGCGGCCTGTGGGCCGTGCAGTTTCTAGTGGACCCGCAGCGTGGACCCGTGAGTACCGGGGTGGACGTGCGTGTGCGCGTGTCAGCGTGTCACTGTGTGTTCGTGTGGCAGGCCAGTGGTGTCTGTGGGAATGTGACCTGGAGCTGCGCGTGCCCGGGCACGAGCGTGCGTGGCTGTGATCACGCTTGGGAGGGGGTGTATGGGGGGCATGCGCGCGCGCGCACACACACACTCTTCATATGATCCCCGTTTTACAGATGAGGAAACTGAGGCAGGCAGGGTTAGTGGCCTGCCCAGGGTGTCTCAGCCCCGGCTGCCCACAGGGTTTGTGGGGATGGACACCTGGAGGCCCCGCCCCCAGAGGGGTTCCCCGAGGGGGAGGGCGGGGGCTGCCCACGCTGGTAAGGGGGCTGGAGACCTGCATTTCTGAAGACCCTACTGTGTGCTGGCTCTGGGCTGAGGCCAGACAGAGGACCCCCCAGGACAGTGACCGTGGGGTCCCGGGGGCTCTCTCCAAGTGTTTCTGGTGGTCATGCCCCCCGTGAAGTGGGCTCTGTGCCCGGAGGCCGTGACAGCTTCAGGAGCCCCTGAGTAACCCGTGGGATGGGGGTGCCTTGGCCCCCCAGACTTACCTGTGGGATGGGGTTCCTTGGCCCCCTGAGTTACCCGTGGGATGAGGTTTCTTGGCCCCCCCAAGTTACCCGTGGGATGAGGTTTCTTGGCCCCCCGAGTTACCCGTGGGATGGGGTTCCTTGGCCCCCCAGACTTACCTGTGGGATGGGGTTCCTTGGCCCCCCCTGAGATACCCATGGGATGGGGTTTCTTGGCCCCCTGAGTTACCCGTGGGATGGGGTTCCTTGGCCCCCCGGGTTACCCATGGGATGAGGTTCCTTGACCCCCCTAGTTACCCGTGGGATGAGGTTTCTTGGCCCCCCTGAAGCATAGCCAGCAGCCCCTCAGGGAGAGAAGGAGCTGAGCCTCCTAGTGCTGGTCCTAGCCAACCTAATCTTGGTTTTGAGCCCCTAGGCCCGAGCTCTAAGGGGAAGTGAAGATGGTGGACCAGAGCCCCAAGAAAGGACACCTGCCCACAAAAAGACACCTGTCCTGAGGCCTTGGGTGCTGCTATGCCCGATCATGGTGGCTGGGAGAAAGGATCTGAGGGGTCAGAAGGTGGAGACAACAGCAGGGAGCCATCATTGACCATGGAAGACGTGGACCTCATGCTTGAGAAGAGAGGTGAAAATCATTTATGTGGTGGGTAGTGGTGAGTCAGCCAGTAAACGTCGATTAGGCACCTACTGGGTGAGGAGCGTGCTCGTGCAAGCACCCACTGCGCGTCCACCTCCCACCTCCTGGCTGGTCCACAGGCCTGGAACGTTCTCTCTCCTCACCGCTACCTTCTGTGGTGTGTCTCCTGTGCCGCCTTCAGCTTGAGACCTTTGCTGACCCTACAGTGGTGAGGCTTCCGCTCCAGAAATGGTTTGTCTGTTTTGTTTTGTTGGACCTCCCCCTGCCCCCTGCAATGCCTGCAGGCAATGACCTACCTGCACCGAGTAGGGCGCAGGTGTTTGGTAAGTGATGAGTGCATTGAATTGATTTCCAATCTAATTCAGTCGAGTAAGCATTTATTAAGTGCCTCCTGTGTGCCAGGCACTGTGCTGTGCTTGGGGATACGATGAATTAAAAAGACAGTTCCTGCCCTTGGGGAGCTCACAGTCTAAAGGAGGAGACACATCACAAAAGGAGGCAGGAGAGGAGAGTGGCAGGGGTGGGACACCAGGGGGTCCCCCGCGTGGGACATCTTGCTGTGTGGAGTTGACGGGCAGCCAATGCCGAGAAGAGTCCGGTTTCTGCCTCTGTCGAAGGAAGGCGTTGGGACGAGGTTGGAACGCTGCCCTCCAGCCCTCCAGGAAGAGAAGGCTGAGGGAGGTAGGGGTCGGTCAAGGCTAGAGTCAGCATTGTGGCGATGCGCTTGTCCTGGGGAGCACCTCTTGTTCTGAAACGGGACTGGGCAGTGGACGCAGAGTGGAGTGAGATAGATTCCTCTGAGACGGGAAGGGGAGAAGGGGAGAAGGGACCTCAAGGGAAAACACAGGGAGGCCGATGGGCACGTCAGACGGCTTTGTCCTTGGATAAAACAGGAAACCGCTTCTGGTTCCACATTCAGGCATTTCCAACTCTCCGTGACCCCTGCGGACTTGTCTATGAGGTTTTCTTGGCAGAGGCACTGGAGTGGTTTGCCATTTCCTTCTCCGCTGTGTCTCCATTTTATAGATGAGGAACTAAAGCAAATAAGGGTTAAGTGACTTGCCCAGGGTCACGTAGCTACTGTCTGAGACTGGATTTGAATTCACATCTTCCCAACTCTGCCACCTAGCTGCCCCTTCTGGGGAAGAGGGCTCAGACTGGGCATCGTGGCTGTTGGCAGTGCCCAGCACGGGCAGTCATGGATTGTCCTGCTCCATACAGTTTCCCGGCTTTGTCAGCAGAGCATGGTAAGCTCAGGAGCAGGGGTGGAATAAAGCAGTGAGCTGAAGGAGTGTGGTGCAGATAGGGCCGAAGGGCTTGAGGGTGCTCGTGAGGGCCTTCGGTAAAGGAGTTGTAGGGAAGGGTTGAGGGGCAGCTGGGTGGCTTAGTGCACAGAGCGCTGGGCCTGGAGTCAGGAAGACCTCAGTTCTAATCCAGTCTCAGACACTTCCTAGCTGTGGGACCCTGGGCAAGTCACTTCACCTGTTGGCCTCGGTTTCCTCATCTGTGAAGGGAACTGGAGAAGGAAATGGCAGACCACTCCAGGATCTCTGCCAAGAAGACCCCAGATGGAGTCACGAAGAGTCAGACTGAGCAACAGCAATGGGGCAGGGTTGAGCCGTCCCGAGACTTCTTTCTGTTGACACGGTCAAGTATCTTCCAGGCCCAGCCCTTCCCCTGGACAGGCCTATGGCGGCAGTGGCGGAGGAAGAGGAGGAGGAGGAGGAGGAAGAAAAGGCCTCCGGGCTCCTGGCAGCCAGCTTGCAGGTGAGCACTACTTCCATCCCCTCTCACATCCCTTCACGTGAATGCGTTTCTTTCCCTTGTCTTAAATGCTGTTAGATTGCCCATGGCCTCTTAAGGATTTGTACCCCAAGGACTCTCCTGCAGGAGCCTCTGGCTCTTTGTGTGCAAACGTTGGTGCTGGAATGTCCTAAGGTGGAAGTGAGTGCATTTCAGAAGGAAGGTGAATCGTTGCACCCAAAAGCCCCTTCTAGCTCTGGAGATATTTTAAGACAAAGATAGTCAAGGAAAGGGTGTTTAAGATGAAAAACATTTCACTCCCTGCTTTCTGAGAAGTTGGATTCTATTAAAGGCTACACATACACACAGATGAGAGGGACAGAGACACATCAGGGGAGGAGAAGACCGTATGGGAGATTGAGACTGGGCACCTAGGTGGCACAGTGAATAGAGCACCAGCCCTGCAGTCAGCAGGACCTGAGTTCAAATCTGACCTCAGACACTTGGCACTTGCTAGCTTTGTGACCTTGGGCAAGTCACTTAACCCCAATTGCCTCACCCTCCCCCCCCCAAATAAAAGAGATTGAGAGAAAAGCATGAGGTAAGAGAGAAAGATGCTGGATAGACAGAAAGAAGGCTCTGTCTTCAGACCCTCATTGTGGCTCTGCACAGCTAGAGTGTTGTGCTGTTTCTGCCCTCGTGTTTTAGGGAGGCCATGGAGAAGCAGGAGTGTTGGGAGGGCACCATCTTGAATGGTGGGTTCATTGAAGAAATGGTATATTTCCATTAGAGAAGAGAATATTTAGGGGAAATATGGTGGCCCACCTTATTGGAGAGTTCTTAAAAGAAATCTGCCGGCTCTCAAGGGAGTTTGACCTCACTGTGCAGAAAGGCAAAACCAAGATGGTGGAAGCCTGTTATCCAGACTCAAATATGCCATTTTCTGGCCTTGCCATAGGATTAGTTCCTAAATACGTATAGTTTGGACAAATAATGCAGATGGGACATATCCTCAACCCAGAACTGAGCAGGAAGAATCGAGAGTGGGCCGGATGGCATCAGAGAAATTGTACTCTGCTCTTTATGGCCCCTGAGCTTCCTGAAACAAAACACGTCTTGTGTTACCAATGGTTTTCTGGTGATGCTGTTACCATGAATCACAGAGCACCTCAGTCTCTGAAGAATGAAGAGGAATGGTCAGCCAAAGGACAGCGGAGGGAAATAGGATGTTTTTGTTTTTGTTTTTGTTTTTTAGGCAATTGTGGTTAAGTAACTTGCCCAGGGTCACCCAGCTAGTAAGTGTCAAGTGTTTGGTCTGAGGCCGGATTTGAACTCAGGTCCTCCTGACAGTGGATAGAGCTGGTGCTGTATCCACTGCACCACCTAGCTGCCCCAAGGGAAATAGGATGTTTTAAAAGGCGTATTGAACAGCATCCAAAAACACGTAAGTGGGAAATGAGTCTGTCTAAACCAAGGGGGCAGGTGTGCCTCTAGAGACTCATGATAGAAGAAAAGTGGGGTCATAGGTGTCATCAGCTGAGAGAGAGCCCCCAACACACACACACACACACACACACACACACACACACACACACACACACACAGTTTGGCACTCAAAGTCCCTCATAACCAGGCTCCCTCCTACCTCTCCAGTCTTCTCTCATCGTACTCCCTAGCACATACTCTTGGATCCAGTGTCCCCAGCCTCCTGGCCGTCCCATAAACAAGACCCTCCATCCCTCAGCCCCAGGCATGTTCTGTGGCTGTGCACCATACCCGGAATGCTCTCTCTCTTCTGCTCCGATCGCTGGCCTCCCTGGCTTCCTTCAAGTCCCAACCAAAATCCCATCTCCTAGCCCTCGTGACTCCAGGGCCTTGCCCCTGGTTATCCTGTGTGTAGCTTACTTGTACATATTTGTTATCTTCTCCCAGGTCCTTCAGGGCAGGGACTGTTTTTTATCTCATTGTATGCCCAGTGCTTGGCACTGTGCCTGGCACTTGCCAGGTACGCCAGTTGCTTAATAAATCTTTATTGACTAACCAACATGTATATTTTGGAGGAAATCCTTCCTTCAGTGCTCTGTACACAGTAGACGGTCTAAAAATGTTTGTTAAACTAACACGGAGTGCAGAATGACCCTAGATCTATATTGTTCAGAGGAAACAGTGACTTGTGGGGGTGGGGGTGAGGTGGGAGGGCCACAGTGTTGTGGAGTGGGGAGAACTCCAAGCGTGATAATGCCATTTTGTGCTCTGCTAACTGCTGAGCCAGTCTGCCGTCATGCCCAGTCATGGCGAATGAGTGCTGTAATGTTGCTGATCGAACTTTGATTGTGATGGCTGACACTAGTGTTGTGTGTCTAACTGTAAGATGCAGGTCGTTTATTCTGATTGTGTGAGTTGGGCCTGTAGGAGTCAAGTGCATGATCTCCTGGCGGCTCATTGGGAAAGAGGATTTGTAAGGGTTTCCTGGAGCATCTCATAAAACTGCACGCTGGGGAGCCTGGTACAAAGAAGGCGTATGATAAGTAGTAATCATTCGTTGTTTGCCATGAGATACTCTTAGCCCTCCATGCTGTAAAAACCTCTGCCTCTCTGTCCGTCCGTCTCCGTGGCTCTGGTGACCTGGTGTAAGGAATAATATTTTTGACTCAGGAATCAGTGACCTTCAAGGACGTGGCCGTGCACTTCACCTGGGAGGAGTGGAGACTTCTGAAGCCTGCTCAGAGGGCCCTGTACAGAAACGTGATGCTGGAGACCTTGGAGCACCTTTTCTCCCTAGGTAAGCAGACCTATCCCTGTAGACAAGCCCCCTTGGACCCCTAGTCAGATTCCTGGAGTGTCTCTGTGCCCTCCTTGCTGTAGGCTCTGGGCCGTCTGAGATGCTTACTTGAGTTTAGACTTGTAGAGCGACATTCACGACCATGTAGTGTGGGAGGAGATTCAAAATCCTTTCTGGCCAGTGGACAGAATGTTTCTATTGCCTGTTTTCAAGTCAAAAGTCTTTCGCCTAAATGGGAATCCCACAGCAGCTCCCCTCCTCCCCGTCCCTCCCTGCTGGTCAGAGATTCTTGCTTATGTCCCGGGGGAGGGAGGAGAACGCGTCTTCCGGGCGACCATCCCTCCCTTCTGTCCCACGTCCTCCAAGGCCTTCCTCTGGTGCTTGGCCTGGCGCCCTCCTTGAGGCAGTTCTCACTTTCCCTGAGAGGAAGCTCTGGAAGGCATGTAGGGACTGTGTTTTACCTCATGTCTCTCCCAGCACCATTTTGTGCGCACAGTAAGCACTGAAATGCTCGGTGAGTGCGCCCGATTGTCATAGCGGAGATCAAATGTCACCAATCTCTCCCCAGGAGCTCGATCCCAAACCCTCTTCCTAGGGGACTGCAGCCAACCTTCAGGCCTATCACCCCGTACTCCCCCTGGGGCACTCTGCCATCCACCCCAGCCGATCTGCTCGCTTTGCCTCCCCGGAGGCATTTCTGACCCGAACTCTGTTTCTGTCATGAGCCTCTCCTGTCCCCTGCTTCAGCCTCGGCCTCAGCTCAGCTGCCGTCTCGTACTTGAGACCTTCCCTTCTCCTCGCACGTACTGGTTCCTCCTCCCTGAAGTTAATTTGTACTCATTTCCTGTCTGCTCCTACATGCACATCCACCCTGGAGAGAGGGGAAGTTCCCTGCAGCCCGTCGGTGACTGTTCATTATTGTTCATTACCCCCGGCGGGGCCTGGCACACAGTGACTGCTTAATAAAGGCCCAGTAGGAGACTGAGATAGGCATGGAAGTGTCCTCCCCTGCTCGCACGAGGGGGTCAGTGGAGCTTGTGTTCTTTCTGAACCTCCTTCAGATATGCGACCCGTCCTCCTCTGAAACACAGGACGGAGTGTGCTCCAGAGGGCTTTCTCACCAGCCTTGGTGCTTTCTAAGCCACCTTCTTCCGTGAATAGGTTTGAATTCTCAGATGGTTTTCTGTCCCCAGCACTTAGCCATTTCTCTCTGTATGAGCAGGGCTGTCTGTTTCCAAACTGGATCTGAACTCCCTATTGGAGAGAGATGAAGCGCCCTGGACCCCCAAGCGAGACATGCCCAGAAGGCGCTGTCCAGGTGAGTGAGACGTGGGCAGATGGGAGGGCTTACAAGCAGCATCTCAGCTGGTGAGTCCTCCTCTCAGAGGCCCCTCGCGCTGTCAGGCATCAGCTGCTGCTTTGACTGAAGCAAAGCACTTTTCTGTCTCTCTAGCTCTCTCATATTTAGCTCCCTGTAAGAGAGAGATGTTCCTAAATTTTTAGTTTTATTTTCAGCAGTTTATAAAGTTTAAAACTATCAATAAATATATTCACACACAGATATACATAGTTTATATACACACGCACATGCACACACACACACATGCATACACATACACACACAAACACATACAGATAAGACTAAAGAATGATCCGAAATAGCTAACACTTACATAGTGCCTTCTGTGTGCCAGGCGCTGTGCTAAGCACTCTGCAATCATTTTCTCATTCCATCCTCACAACAGCCCTGGGAGGTAGGGGCTATCATTATCCTCCTCTCACATATGAGAAAACTGAGGTGGACAGGGGGTAAGTGACTTATCTGGGATCACGTAGCCAGTTTATTCTAAAGTGTAAATTAATGTGAACATCCTAGTAAGAGAAAGGTCCTGTTTGTGTCCTGGTCTGTTTCTGAACTGTTTTCTTCTGTGTCTTTTAGATTTAGCGATTGATGTATTTACTATTTCACATCATGGTGGTTGGTTCTTATGTGCTAATGCTGCTTTCCTCATTCTGTGTCACTTCTAATGAGTCTTCTCATATTATTTATTATTCTCATTTGTATTTTCTTCTGTCATAACTACATACGTTAAGACCATGCAACAGCTTCTTTAGCCCCCGTCATTTGTTGGACGCATGAATTATTTTAAAGTTTTAGTTGTTACAAATAATCTATTATTAACCCTTTTGCAGAAGGACATCTCTGTCCCCCTTGTCAGTAATATCCTTAAGATATCGGTGGCACCAGTAGGCCCACGTATTTAATGGCATCCAAGGGGAGAAACGGTTTTTGTAGTCTTATCGTAGATTACCGGATTGCTTTCCCAAAGGGTGGTACTGTTTCTTGGCTTTAGCAATTGGTAACATTTGCCTATTTTCCAGTCCCACCAGCATTAAAACATGAAAATATAATTTTCTTTGCTATTAAGAACTTGCACATAAGCCAGCATTAACGTTTGTAATTTTGAATTTTTCACATTTGATTTATCTCATTGTTCCTTTCATTTGAATTTTTACAGTTGAAACCTAGAATAGTTTCTTGTGGCTTTGCTGTGTTGTGTTCCTTCTTTAAATAGTTCGTGTTGGTATCTTTTTCATGGAAAGAAGGGAGCTTGATCTCCTAAGTTTTGAATAGCATGACCTTTAACATTCAGGCTGTGTACCCATTTTGAGTTTACTGTATTACAGGGTGTGAGATATAATTACTTCTTAGTGTTCTGAGTTGCTTTGTCAGATGTGGTGTTCTTTCTTGTATAGTTGATGTTTTCCAGTTTATTGAATGCTGAGTTTTTGAATTTTATTGTTTCTGACTCTTTCTACTGAAGACTTTCCTCATAGTTCATGGAGAAGAGACCATTCACCATGAATTCCTTCTCCCCTTGACTGCATCCCAAGACCCCTTGACAGCAGCCCCCCTTCTCCTTTACTGCAGTTTTTAATGAGCAGGCCACTCTTCTGTATTTATCTTTGTTATCTTTGTTCCTCATGCCCTCCTGTCTTCTCTAGATTTCCCCTGCAGTCATCACCTTTCCCTAATTTTCCATCTCGTCCTATTTTTCCTACAGCCTACAAACATAACCAATTCTCTCCTATTCTTTTTTTTTCTTTTTTTTTTTTGTGAGGCAATTAGGGTTAAGTGACTTGCCCAGGGTCACACAGCTAGTAAGTGTTATAAGTCCGAGGCCAGATTTGAACTCAGGTCCTCCTGACTCCTGGGCTGGTGCTCTCATCTGTTGCACCACCTAGCTGTCCCAATTCTCTCCTATTCTTAAAAAACCATTATGAGACCCTACCATCCCCTCCAGCTATTGCCCTTTACCTCTTCTCTTTCACAGCCAAACTCCTTGAAAAAACTGTTTCCACTCCATGTTTCCGCTTCCTCTCTTCTCACTTGCTTTTCATCTCTCCAAAATCTGACTTCTGACTTCATTACTCAGCTTACACTGCCATCTTTAAAGTCACCAGTGACCTCCGATCCTTACCCTTTCTGTTTTCTTCAGCATTTGCTACTGCAGATCACTCTGCCTTCTCGGTCTCTCCTGTGTCTTGTTTTGTGTGATGCAGTTCTCCATTGCTTCTCTCTTCCCTCTCCTCAGCATCGCCACCTTCTTGGCCCGTTGCTGGTTTGTTATCCGTGTCTTTGTATCCTCGATGGTAAGTGTCCATCAGAGTCTCCTGATGGGCCCCTTTCTCTTCTCTTTTTCATACATGTTCTCTTACTTCGTGACCTTATCAACTGTCATGGCTTTAATTATCTCTGTTCTCCACTCTGTGTGTGTGGTGCTTAGCCTTCTTCTGAGCTCCCGTCCAGCATCTCCAAATTCCTATTACATATTTTAAACGGGCTGTCCCCTTTCTCTTTCCCATGAAGCCCACTTCTCTCTGAACTTCCCTATTTCTGTCAAGGACACTGCCATTCTTTTGGTCACCCAGTTTCACAGCCTCTGTTTTTCTCAACTCTTTTTCTCTCCCTCACTGCATACATGGAGTCCATTGTCAGAACTTGTCCTTTGTGCCTTCCCAACGTCTTTTGCTTCTATCCTCTTCTCACGCACCCACACCCTTGTTCAGCCCCTCGTCACCTGGACCAGGGCAGGAACCTCCTCAGTGGTCTCCCTGCCTCATCTCTCTCCTCACGCCAGTCCATCCTCCACACAGCTGCTAAACAGGCAAGTCTGTCCCTTGGGCTTGAGGACCCTCTTTCCTAACTTTCTGTGCTTGGCAGTACAACCTGCCTTGCCGTTCCTCACACAAGACTCTCCATCTCTTGCCTCATGGGAGAGAGCAGACAAGCAGCTACCCAGCTTTAAGGGCAAGGAAGCGGGCCCTGGATACTTCCTGGAGCAGCCCATTCCGCTTTTAGAAAGCTCTGGCCATTAGGAAGGTTTTCTTTGCATCAAGCTAGACTTAGCTCTGCAGCTTCTCCATGTTTTCTGTGTCTTCCTTTCCAGTGCTAATACAGGAGAGTCCTCCTGATAACTGAAGATGACTCTTTTCTCCCCCAAAAGCTTTCTCTTCATCAGTCTAAATCCCAGTTCCTTCTCCTAATTCTAGGATGAGGTGGTACTGGGGCATTCACCATGTTTGCTGACTGCCCTTCTTTGGGTGTTCCAGCTCAGCAATATTCTGCTGTTAATGTGGCATCCAGAAGTGAACGTCATACAGTAGACAGAGTCTGACCAGGGCAGAACTATCACTTTTCACAGTCTGTACTCTGTGTCCCCCTCTGTAGGGGAAGGGGATCTGTTTTCATATAGCACCTTCTATACGTGCTGAACTCACTCTGCTAAGCTCTTTTTAGAAATTATCTCGTTTGATCCTCACAACTCTGTGAGGTAGGTGCTATTATTCCCGTTTGACACTTGAGGAAACTGAGGTTAAGTTACTTGCCCCATGTCATATAGCTAGGAAGTGTCAGACACAGGATTTGAACTCTGGTCTTCATGACTCCAGACCCAGCACTCTGTCCACTGCACTATTAGCTGTTGTAATGAAGCTGAGAACGATCACATCAGCCATGTTTGCTGTGCGAACTTGTGTTTGCTCATGTTGATCTCATGATTTACTTAAACCTCTGATTTTTTTTATGATATATTTATTTTTTTATGATATTTTTTAATGAACTGCTATCTAGCTCTGCCTCCCCTATTTTATATTCGTGGAGTTGTTTTTCAGCTCAAATATAGGACTCACCTCTATTAACATTTCTTCTTCTTATTTTTCTTATATGTTCATTAACATATCTTCTTATTTTTGGATCACTTTTTTTTCTTTAGGCAATTGGGGTTAAGTGACTTGCCCAGCGTCACCCAGCTAGCAAGTGTCAAGTATTTGGTCTGAGGCTGGATTTGAACGGGTCCTCCTGACTTCAGGGCCGGTGCTCTATCCACTGCGCCACCTTGGATCATTTCTAAAGCTTATTGAGATCTTGTTCAGTCCTAACCATCCCCGTGTTAGCTATCCCTCCCAGATCTTTGTCATTGGCAAATTTGATTAGCATGCTATATATGCCTTTGTTCAAGTCTGATCCAAAACAGGACTTGAAAATGTAGCTTATCTATTTCACTTAATTATGATATCTTGTGTTTTTCATTTCTTGTTTAGATAAAAGAACTTGTGCAAATCAAATTGCTATTTGAAATTCTTTGCTTTTCTGCTTAGTGGCATTAAGAATTATGTTATTATATGATTAAAGGTTGAAAATATTGCATCTGTGAAATTTTCCTGAAAAATTCAAGATATTTTTATTCTTCCCAGTTTTGAGGAAGCCTAGTAATTCTTAAATTGTTTCTAATTGCTTGGTCTTCCAGATCTGTCACTTTTACACACAGAGATGCCAAATTGTTTTCCATTTGAGTAATATTTTGAGCTCTGTTTCCCTTCTTTGTGGTTTTGTACTGTTCTATCCTTCAGAAGATAACACACCCAGTTAACAGTTGTTTTAAATAACCTCTCTACACTCTTTAAGTTCCCTGGCATGTAAGTCATTTAGTGCTAAGCAGCTAGGCCTTCTGTTACTATGTCTTCAACTCTCTTTGGCTCCAATTCTTCCTAAAATAGTCTTTTTTCTGCATAGTTTAGATTGAGCATCTTTTTCGTTGATGGAAGAGATAGAAACTAGAACATACTCTGAAGCAGTTTCCTTTTTTCCAGCATAGAGGACAGTGGCTAGTGACATTTCTCAAATAATTTCTTTCAGATTCCCTTCATCAGGAGACACAGTGTGAAACCAAGGACTTAAGTCTGATATCAGACATTTGGATGGGAACCTCATCCAGCAAAATTCTGCCAAAGGATAGTTCCTGGTATTCCATAATAAGGGAAGCTCATTTCAAATTAGAAAGACACAAGGACACCCAAGGGACAGTGTCTGGACAAGTACCAGACCCTCCTCAAACAGCCTTTAATAGAGTGAGTGTGCCTCTCTGTAATACCTTTGCAAGAAGTTTGAATCTGGGCTCGGTCTTTGTTCCGCTCTGCAGAGGTGCTACAGAAGAGAGTTTTCATAAATTTCCAATGCTTGGAAAGAGCTTCTGGGATTTTTTAAACCTAATTACATCTAATGCATTATCTTTAGAAAAGAATCTTTCTAAATATGACAGATACAAGAAGCCTTTCAGTTACCACTCAGACCTAATTAAATTTCATCAGATACGTGTGGGAGAGAAGCTCCGTGAACACAGTGAATGTAGAGAAGCCTTTGACGGAAGATCAGATCTTACTGGACATCAGAGAAGTAGAATTGGAGAGAAACATTATAAATGTGATGAATGTGGAAAAGCCTTTAACCACAGGGGAAGCTTAACTAAACATACTAGAATTCATACTGGAGAGAAACCTTTTGAATGTAGTGATTGTGGGAAAGCCTTCAGTGAGAGAGGAAAACTCAAGAGCCATCAGAGAATTCATACTGGAGTAAAGCCCTTTGAATGTAATGAGTGTGGGAAAGCCTTCAGTGTGAGGGGAAATCTCAACGCACATCATCGAACTCATACAGGAGTGAAACCCTTTGAATGTAATGAATGTGGGAAAGGCTTCAGTGAGAGTAGATTACTCAAAAGTCACCAGATAACTCATACTGGAGTAAAGCCATTTGAGTGTAATGAATGTGGAAAAGCCTTCAATCAGAAAGGAAACCTTATGAGCCACCAGAGAACTCATACTGGAATGAAACCTTTTCAGTGTAACAAATGTGGGAAAACCTTCAACCAGAAGCGTTTCCTTAAAAGTCATCAGAAAATTCATACTGAAGAGAAGCCTTTTGAATGTAACGAATGTGGAAAGGCCTTCAGCCAGAAAGGTTACCTTAAGAATCATAAAAGAATTCATAGTGGAGAAAAACCATTTGAATGTAATGAATGTGGGAAAGCCTTCCGTCGAAAAGGATACCTCATAACTCATCAGAGAACTCATACTGGAGTGAAAGCTGTTGAGTGTAAGGAATGTGGGAAAGCCTTTAGCCAGAAGGGTTACCTTAAAAGTCATCAGAGAATTCATGCTGGAGAGAAACCCTTTGTATGTAATGAATGTGGGAAAGCCTTCAGCCAGAAGAGTTATCTTAAAAGTCATCATAGAATCCATACTGGAGAGAAACCATTTAAATGTAATGAATGTGGGAAAACCTTCAGCCATAAGGGTTATCTCAAAAGCCATCAGAAAATACATGTTGGAAAGAAATTATTTGAACAAAGTCAATGTGAGAAAGACTTCAACCAGAATTGCCTTGATGGCCATCAGACAATTAATAGTGGAATAGAGTCCTTTGAATATAATGAATGTGGCAAAGCCTTTGCTGAGAAGGAAGCCCTTATTAGACATCAGAGAACTCACACTGATGTGAAACCTTTTGAATGTAATGAATTTGGGAAAGGCTTCTGCAGAAAAGCACATCTTGTTACCCATCACAGATTTCAGACTGGGTTAAAACTTTTTGAATGTAAATAAATGTGGGGAAAGCCTTCAGCCAAAGTATATACTTTATTACCCATAAGAATACTTACACTTTAGAGAAACAGTTTTAATATAATAAATGGGAAAAGGGCTTCTGAGAAATGGAGAGCCTTATAACATCAGAGAACTCATCTTGGAGTGCAACATTTTGAGTATAATAAATATCTTTATTGAGATGAGGTTATGCCAAGGTAAATGGCCAGCAATTAGGAAATGGCTAAACAAATTGTTATATGTTAGTATAATGGGGCATGATTGTGCTGTAAGAAATGATGAATATGGTAAATTTAAAGAAGTATGCAAAACATGGATAGAGAAGGAAGTAAATGGCTGTAACAATATATATGACTCCAACAATGTAAATGGAAAGAACAAGAAAAAAGAAACTGAACAATATGTCATTTTAGTATCCAGGTATGGTCCTAGAGAATGAGGGAAAAGCATCTTTCACTTCTTTGTGGAAGTTGGCAACTGTGTGTAATACTGCTTATGCTTTGCTACTTTCCTGGTGTTTTGGTTACTTTTGTTTACTTTTGTTGACTGCTTTTTGTTCCTTTTCCTCCCCTTCTTCATGCCCCCCTCCGCTGCCCTCCAGAGTGGCCCACTGGAGGAAAAGTTGGGGGAAGGATTTATTTGGAAATGAAAGTGGTATAAGAAAAAAAATACACCAATGAATTTATCCTTTAAGAACTATTAAACAAAGGGCAGATTATGCAAGTTTGAAATTAGATCCTTTTCTTGACAATACTACCAAATGTGTAGATTGAGAAATGTTGTAGACATGATTGACTGATGTTTCAGCAGAGCATTTTATAAATCCTCCCAAGAAGAGGTGGTGAAATCGGGGTACACAATGGAACGATCCAATGGATTCAGGACAATTGGAATGACTTGCCCCGCAGAGTAGTTGATGTCAGACTTCAAGCCCTAGCATGAATTGCCCCAGGGCATGCTTGGACCCATACTATTTTAACATCTTTATCTATGGCCAATAAGGTCATAGATGCCATGTTCATAAAATATTCAAATCTAGGAAGGATAGCTGACGTTTCAAATATTGGAATCTGAATCTGGTAAGATCTTTGCAGTCTGGATAATGGTATCCAGTTTTTTTGATTGTACACTTCTAGCAATAAAAATTGGAACATGCTCCCCACATATATGTAAATTCACTTATTTAGCAATAAGTGATTGACTTATCTAGAAATCTTTTACCTGTGCTATTTAATCAATGTAGCTGAGTGGCGTAGTAGATACAGTGCCTGGCAAGTCAGACATGACTAAAATCACTTAATCACAGCTTTATGAATAATTAGGTAAATAATTTTTAAAATACAATTTAAAAAGACAAAGATGAAATATTTGATTCTAAAGTCTGTGGGGGAGCCACTAGAGTTTACTGGGTAGGGGAAGGCCACGGTCAGAGCTTTGCATTAGGAAAATCACTTTGGAAGCTTTGTGTGGGATGAATTTCAGCAGGGAGATCAGTTAGGAGGCTTTAAAGGAAGGTAGGAGGTGATGAAGGCCTGTTGGCTATATGCATAAAAAGAAGGGGACAGATGTAGAAATGTTGTGGAGGTAGAAGTGACAAGATATGGCAACTAATTCAGTGTGTGGGATGAGAGAGGTGGAAGACTAAGGTTATGAAGCTGAATGACAAGAAGGACTGTGGTACCTTCAACAGGAATAGGGAAGCGTGGAAAAGCAGTAGCATTTTAAGGAAATGTAAAGAGCTATGTTTTGGACACAGCTGTGGGACATCAGATTCAGAAAGTTAGTAGATCTTTAATGATGTGGGGTTGGAGAGCAGAATGGAAATTAGGCCTGGATCTTTAATTTTAGGAGTCATCTGTACAGAGATGATAATTAAACCGATAAGACTGATTAAGTCGACATGTGAGTGTATGGAGAAGAGCGCCCAAGACTGACTTGGGCAATATTTGCGTTTAGGGGAAGTCATGTGGGTGATGATCCTGCTACAGAGATTTGAGGAGGAAGTCACAACCAGAAGAACCAAGATGGAGCCTCGGAATGAGAAGTCATCGAGGAGGAAGTAAATCTGGGAAGAGAGGGTAGTCAGTGGGGTCGTGCTGCAGAGATTTGAGGAGGAAGTCACAACCAGAAGAACCAAGATGGCGCCTCGGAGTGAGAAGTCATCGAGGAGGAAGTAAATCTGGGAAGAGAGAGTAGTCGGTGGGTTCGTGCTGCAGAGGTACAGAAGAGTGAGGACTGATAAAAGGCTACGTGCTTTTGGCAAATTGATCATTGGTAACTTTCAAGAGAGCACTTTCATTTAAGTCAAGGATAACAAGGAGGTTGCCTGGCAGACTCTAAGGCTGGAGGTGCCCTTATGGAAAAAGGGATAAGTTTGAGAAAAAAGATAATGTGATCACAACCCATCCGTGCCTATTCATCCTGGGTTACTTCTTTCTCATGAGAAAATGAAGCATGTGGAGTAATACTCCCCTTCCATTGCTCCTGAGGTCAGAGCCCATCCACTGATGGCAACCAAACTCGGGATTTTAATTTTGCCTGTGCTCCTGCCGATGGTGTCTTCTTTGGTTTAGACTTTAGTGGCCCTAGGCAGCCACAGAAGGTAGGCCAGCAGTGAGAAGGGTCAGAATGGGGAAGTGTTGGAGGGAATAGAGTGTGTGGGCTTGTGACAAGCCCAGGACTGTCTTGGGGTAAAAGTGGATACAACCCGTATTTCTCCTTTCTGACTGATCACACGCTGGGGTCAAGTTGTGGCCCACATTGCCACTGCTGACCAAGACTATATGTTCAAATATTATAACTTACATTTGAATTTTTTTTTTAATAATTTCTGAAGTCCAAGATAGGGGAGGAATGGATCAGCAGCAGCTTGCAAAGACTGAATTTTTTTTTTTTTGCTAGATTGCACGCTCAATATGGCAGTCGGGAATCCTAATGCAATCTTGGGGTGCGTTAAGGGGGTGCACTAAAGTTGCGTCATTGTCTGGAAGTAGGAAGTTATCTATTGAACCATTTTACATTGTATTCCACCCTAGTCAGACTATATCTGTGTTCATTTCCATGCAACACAATTTAAGAAGAAAGTAGTATGATGGGGTTTTTTTTCCTCTGGAAAAGGGCAAAGTGGGGGGTGGAGGGCCCTCTGAAGGTGTTCATGCCTTGTGGAGATCATTGCATGGGTCTAGGGATGTTTAGCTTTGAGTAGAGGAGACTCCTGGGGAACATGACAGAACCAGAACCCAAAGAGCTTTCAGGTATGGATGTAGCGTTAGACTTACTCTGCTGGGTAACAAAGGGCAGATCTAGGAGCCGAGGGAAAGTTTCACAGGGACAGCTTTAGGCTTGATACAAGAAGAAAGTCTCCAAATGTGGAACGAAATGCCCAGCAAGTAGAGAATCGCCCTGGCGTGTGGCAGATGATCCTTTTAGGGGCTCTGTGTTCGACTGGATAGCCCAAGGGAGGCTCCTTCTAACTGAAACTAGAATTCTGATCCTGCGACTTAGTGAATATTGGAAGCCTTCACTCAGAATATGACCTTAAATACCAGAGAGCTCATTGGAAAGGAGCCCGTGAACGATAAAAACAAGACTCGGGAGAAAACTTAGGAGAGTCCACGCCAATGGCTGATCCTGCACCTTCCCCATTTCACATCTTACCCCGCTCTCTCCTTCACTCCTGGTTTTGGATGAGGACGTGGCCGTCCTCTCCAAGGCAAACGTCTCTACACAGGTGGATCTCATTCCATCCTTCTCCAGGACTTGCTCCCACTGTCATCCCTATTCTTTCCCCCATCTTCAGTCTGTCTTTGGGTTCTGACTGCTTCCCTGTCACTCACAAACAAACCTGTGTCAGCCCATCCTTAAAAACACTTGATCTGATCTGACCCATCCCTGCCAGCTATTGCCCATCTTTTCTGTTCACCTGGAGTCCTTGAGAACGCGCCACCCTCGGTGCCTGCACTTTTTGTCCCCATTCATTCTTCAGTCCTCCATAGCAGGCCTGCACAACGGTCACCTGCAGCAGGTCACCTGCAGCAGGCGGGCCAAAGGCTTTCCTCTACATACAAAGGATGTTTTCCTCTACATTTTCCGGGGGAACAGCCTGAGGGTTGCAGATTGGGCAGGCCTGCTCTGCAGTCTAACTTCTGACTTAGTTATCGATGATCCGGTGCTTGCCAGATTAATTCTCGACCTTTCCGCAGCCTTTAACATCGTTGACCACTGCGTCCTGAATGTTCTCAAGGTTTTTCAACACTGTTCGTTTCCATTTGTGATATTTGTCAGGCCAGGGACCTGAAGCCTTGGGATGCACACATTTTTGGACGTGGAGGATGTAGGAGGGCTGGTTTTTTCTGTGAACATTTTATGAATGGAAGGAAGAGTGGGACAGATTAATAAAAAATGCTTCCTGCTTGAAATTTTAAAAACTGTGTCTGACTCTTGGTGAGCTCATTTGGGGTTTCCTCGGCAAACATGTTGGAAAGATTTGCCTTTTCCTTCTCCGGCTCGTCTTACAGATGAGGAAACTGAGGCAAACAGGTGACGTGCCCAGGGTCACACAGCTAGTAAGTGTCTGAGGCTGGATTTGAACTCCAGAAGAGGAGTCTTTCCCACTCCAGGCCTGGCGCTCCGCGCACCATGGCGCCCCCTAACGGACCAATTTAAAAATAACAATGGGAAGAAAATGGAGGCCAGTAAGCCCCCCAAAGATTCGAACTCATTGCTTCCTAGAGATCCTGTTTTTCTGGACGTCGCCCCCGGGGGGGTCTGGCCGTCCACACTGGTGGGGGGAGGGGTTGCCTTAGCGCAGCCCCGCCCCTCCTGCCTCGCGCAAGCGCAGACACGCCTGCTGAAACGGGAAGCCGCGGGCCCTTCTGGGAGGTGGAGTCCTGGCCTGCGCCTCGCGCTTTCCCCGACTCCCCCGCCCCCCCGTGACCCTGTGGCTGCCCACGTGGGTGGATCGCCTCCTGCTGGCATGACTACGCGTGCGCGGCGCCCTCCGGCCTCCCCACCCCTATCCATTCCACCGGCCTGGAGCATCGAGTTTTTGCCCACTCGCGGCTCCCCTTCCCCAGGGTCGTCCGTTTGTGTCCCCCCCCCCCCGCCACCTGACTGGGGGGGGGTTTGCGGTTGTGTAGGTGTGTGTGCGTGCGTAAGGGGAGGGTCGTGAGAGGCCGCGTGAGTGCGCGCGTGTCTACACCCGAGTGAGTCCAGGGGTGAGCGGATGTGCACGCGTGAGCCCGTGTGTGCTCTCCACGTGAGAGCTCGGGAGCCTCGGGCCATGCGTGGGCCCCCCCCCCCCCCGGTGCCAGGAGCCGCCCCCGAGCCGTCTGCATCCGCCGGGCGCCCCTCCCCCTCCCCCTGCCGATCCGCCGAAGGCCAGCCACGAACCCCAGGCGTGGACGCAGGGAGGCCCGTCCCGTGGCTTCTGGGCCCTTGTTCTGAGGCCCCCGCGTGGGCGCTGCGCTCGGGGCGACCGGGGCCGTGGCGAGCTGATGCGGATCCCCACGGCCACGGGAGCCGCCCGGCGGAGCCCGTCACGCCCGACGCCTCGTGTCCGAGGAGGGGCCCGCCCCGCGCGGCGGCTGCCGGGCCTCGTGCGTGGGGTGCGCGAGCCGGGCCCGGCGCGGGGGGAGCCGGCCCCAGCGGGCACGTGGCCCAGCTCCCCGCGGGTCTGCGGATGGGCCGGGGGGCTCATCACCGAGCCCGGCCCCGGCCCCGGCCCCGGCAGACCGAGGAGATCGCGCCCGAACGAAGCCCGGCCGCCTGGGCTGGGAGGAGAGCGCCCCAGCGACGGGCAGCTCATTACCGCGGCGCGGGCGAGGAAGGCGCAGAGAGCGAGCGCCGCCCGGAGCCCCGAGAAGGGAGAAGAAGCCTGTCGACACCGCGGAGCGGCGTGAACGCGAGCGGAGATTTCGTTCAGGGATGGCAAGAGGGGCCGGGGAGGAGGGCACGTGGGCCTCGATCACGGCGATGGGAAGGGGCTTTCCGGGGCAGAATCCATCGTCCCGGTGACCCAGAAGCGGGGTCACCGAAGGAATTAGAAAGAAGAAGTGCGGCCGGGAGCTCTGAGGAACCCCAAAAGACGACAGTATTGCAACTAACGGGAGCTTTGTGGAATTCTGTGCCGCGTCGTAAAAGAGAAGTCCTGTGGAATGAGCGCTAGTTATTCCGATCGTTTGGGACGTAATTAGGAAATGCAGGACTCTGCCCCTGAAAGACCATTCCAGGACCACGTTCCACGTGTTTCGGAATCTCGTGAACTCCAAAGCAGAGGGCCGGGAATGTGAGATGGCCCTTTGGAATCTCTCCCTGTCCTTTCAGGCAGGGTTAAAGCTGGAAAGCGTGGGGGGAAAGGGAGAGTGGGGTTAGGTTACCCACGTAAAAGGAATTTATTGGGCTCTCTGGGTGATTTTTGAAAGAAAATAGAAAGTTCATGAAAAGGTGGAAGTGCTGCTGTGAACCTTTGAAAATGAGTGAATTGTTAACGCTGAGCTTTAGATTTTAAAGCCCAGGTGGCTAACAGCCCTGGAAAATCGAGATTTTGATTTTGTGGTTGGAAAGCTAGCTTTGATTGATTGAGGTTTGTCCTGTAACAAAATTATGATGCGGTGAAATGTGTTCTACTAATTGTGACATCGATGTTAAAAAAAAAAAAATAATGCTGGAACCGTACAGGCAAATCTAAGTTACGCTTCCATCGTAGAAGTTTATGAACTCTGTGATCTTAAGCAAGTTATCTTATCTCCGTTTAACTCAGTTTCCTCATCTGTAAAGAGGAAAACAATAATGGCACCCATTTCCCAGGGTTATTGTCAGGATTATAATGACATAATGATTGTGAAGTCTTTGACACAGTGCCTCACGTATGGTGAACACTGTATCAGTATTAACTATTGTTATTGCTTCTTTGATCGTATAATGTGTCAACTCTGGACTGAATGGAGTGGCTCAGTGTGGAGCAATTATGTGTCTTTTAACTAATGGTGGTTGTCCCCTGCAGAATTATTCTGTATTGGATTTTATATAAGATAATTTGGAAACGCATTAGGCCAAATTGATATCATTTGACCGATAATAAGTTTTGTGTCATGTTTTAAAATAGGATTTTGTGTGTTACTATTGTGTTTCTAAATTCTCTTAAATTGTGGAATTTGGAAATCATTGTATCAGAATGCTGTTAGAAAACAATTCCTTTTTTAAAAAAATCTTGATGCTGTTAGATTATGAATTGAGCTATTAAAAATGTGATAAAAATAGATATTTGAAAACTTGAATATTTAATGGGGTATATTTTGTTTTAGAGCAAATAACGTAATAATAACAACAACAATAATGAAACAATAATTTGCCATTTGGGGAAAGCAGTTGCACAGCCCTTTAAGATGTCTTTATCTGTGTGTTCCTTCAGACTTTGTATGCAGACTGGATCGTGAGATTTTATCAGTCCTACTGACTACATGTTACGAAATCTAAAGTGCCGAAGTTTAAGAACCTATAACTGAGAAAAAGGATCCCCTGTCCCCTTTCAAAAGGCAGAAGTGTTCTTTTTACAAACTAGACTCTTATGAATTTTTTTTTTAAAGATTCTTGTTTCTGGTACCGTGTTTAGGTAAAGAAAGAAACAGCAAGTGGCCTATAAAAACTGAAATTCTCCAAAGTGTCAAGTGAATCATGGGTTCCCAATTTGACGTTCTTTTTATAGTTCGTCGGTGATGCGATCAGAACCATAAATCTTGAGCTAGTTTTCACCGCATGAAATAGTTCGTAGAAAACCAAATTTAGGAAGTTGTATTAAAGTGTATTACGTCTTGTTACTGGCAGGTTTTAGCAGAATTATCTGGCAATCTCTGCAAGTGATTTGGAAGCAGAGAAGCAAATCCCCTTTCAGAGGTGTCCTAAGAATGAGGCCTATGCCAGAACATCCAAGAGAAGGTATTTCCGGGGTCAAGGAGACTACATGGGACATTTGGCACTCAAGGAAAAAATCTGACAATTAAATAGACATTGGGAGTGGGTTCCTAGGACACAAGGAAACTTGATGTTATTTAATGTTGATGGTGATCATTGTATTGCTTTGGCCTCTTATTCCACGATGCTTAAGTGTTCTTGGTTACCTTGGTAACATGTAAATCTCCCCTCTGAGCCCTCTAAGATTTGATCTGTAGCTTGACGTAAGTATTTCTGATTATGAATACGTGAAAACCGTTAGAGATAAGTGATTCATAGGGGAAGGAGGTGGCCCAGTTCCCCAAGAACCAAAGAGGGGAATTGTGAGAATTCAGTGAACCACCCTGTGATTCAATTCTGGATCTAACTCAGTTCCCTTTCTATTCAATTATTGGTCTTGTCCAATTTCTGTCTTGTGAGAGAACTTTATTCAATCATGGGAATTGTGGAAAAAAATGTTGCGTTATTTGAACCTAGCCCTGCGTGACTGGAAAGCTGGACCACCTCTACCAGAAACCCAGTCAGATCCAAAAAGTTTTCTCACCATTATACATCTCACGCAAACCATATGTCTTATCTGAAAACTGGCCCCATACTGGTCAATTAGTTCATTTCCTTGTTCCTTTGATTAAATATGGGCACTTGGGGGGTGGGGTGGAGTAGGACACCTTTTTCTGATTTCAGGGAATCACACCTGTTCCCTTTCCCCCTCACGTCTTGGAAAGTCCCTAATCTTTCCTTCAATTAAAAATCAGATGACCTAATCTTGTATCCTGGTTTATATCCTATTAATTAATTGTTTTCTTTTAATGCATGAAAATCTGTCTTCCCCTGTATTCAAGGTCTAATGCCAAGCTGAGGAGGCCTGGTCCTGATTCATTATGCAGTTGGCGTGCATTGCTTACTAAATGGATATTCTCAAAAGCTCGAACCTTTGTTCCCTCCGTTATTTCAGATTTCACCAGTCACAGAAAAGAAATTGAGGCACAAAGTTCTGAGCATGATTAATTTATTAGTATAGCTCACACATAGCACATCCAATTTATTTGGGTGCGAGATCCCTCAGTAGGTAAGGATGCATCTGACAGTCAGAACAACTCTTTTATAACACGTGCATAGCGTCTATACAGATGCATTTCACTTCTGATTGGCTGGTGCAGCTTCTATCAGAGATAAAGGAGGGCAAGACGGCCAATACATGAACATCACCTTCAGAAGGAAACTCGAAAGGCAGATATTCCTTCTCTTGCAGTTTTGGAGGAGATGGCCATATACAGACCACACACACCAGTCATGAGAATGTAATGTTGGTGGTGTGGAAGTTTAGGTCCAAAGGTCCAGTCCTAGAAAAAAAGAGATGGGGCCTGGGAAGGAGATCACCACTGTACCCACCGACAAAAACTCTGACCTTCTCAGCCTTTTCCCCGCTAAGGAATTATAGACCTTAACTCCGATCCACGTGCGAGTGGAGACACCACCC